CCGGCAGCTCCAGTGGCAGCGGCTCAACCATCACTCAAGCATCGTGGCCCAGGCGCAGAGGAAGTGAAAAGTCGCGAGCCCACGACAAGTCATACCTCAAAACTCGTCGCCAAAGCCGCTCACCAAAGACCCAACAGCAGCTCTCCTCATCAAACGTCTTGAGCTACCTCGAACCAGACTCACCCAACATAACCCCTGAAGCCATCCAGCGCTCCGTCGAGCAGTCGTCCTACTGGAGGATGCCCGACCCCGCCGCCGCAAGCTACCAGTCGCCCTCGACGCGGAGCACAACCTCGACTGCCTCAAGCAGCTTCCAGAGCGATGTCTTCTCCGAGATGGGCGCCGGCGACCAAGAGACCGACAGGAGCAGCAGCCCAGATCACAGCATCTACGGAGACTCTCCCTCCATGCCCGGCAAGTTCGAGGTCCCCATGCCCCCCGGTCACGGACACGGCCAACGGCAGCGCGACTACCGCCACTACGGCACCCCCGAGATGCCGCGCGGGACCGCAAATCTGCCTCACCTTCCACCCAACGCTCTCCAGCCCCGTCTCCCCGGCACGCATCACGGCCACCCAAAGCACCTACCCAGGGCAGAGAAGCTCCCGCTCACGGGGTACGAGCTGATCGCTTCCAAGCTATGCGCCGGCGACGACACGGAGAGGTCAAGCATCAAGCCCATCTACCGGCGCTTCGAGGCTCTCAACCACCGCCTGCTGCTTCACCTGCAGGACGAGCTTGCCGAGCTGGAGGAGCAGCTCCACCGCCTCGACACGGCCGACACGCAGACGCGGCGGATGCAGAACTGCTTCCTGCCAGCGTCGAGGAGGCAGGACTCCCTCACCGCGGGCGAGCTACAGTGGCACAAGACGGATATTCTAGGCAAAGTTGGCTATAAACTCAGCCAATACAGTAAGTCACCCCTCATGTCAATCCCACAATTTTCCCTCCCTCTAACACGGCCACAGACCACGTCCTCTCATCCTTCAAGGAGACACAGCACCTCCCCAACCCAGACCCCCAAGACGTAGACTTCTACCGCGCCTACCTCGCAAACCACAACCCCATAGTCGAAATCGAAACACGCTTCCTCGATCCCGCAGACGACCTCGTCTCCCTTGCCCGTCCACCCTCTTCATCATCATCCGCCTCAAACTCCAGCTTCTCGAGCGACGACCTCCGCACTCCTCAACCGCGCAACGCAAAATTGCCCTCCCTTTCCTCCCTGCTGACTCCAGAAAGTCAAAGCGCAGATAGGGCGGAGCGTATCCGTCGCCTGCTCATCTCGGCTTTGACGGGGTACCTGCCCACCCTCGCTATCGCTTTTGCCGCAGCGTTCTTGCTGCCGATTCTCGCGTTTGCAGTGATTCCGGGGTTCGTGGGGCGTATGGCTGTTGTGTTGCTTGTTGCTGTTGGCGTTGCTGCTGGTGTGGTGCAGGCGGGGTTGTTTAGTAGTCCTGGGGCGGATCGTCCTGCGAGGGTGGCTGCTACGGAGGGGGTGTTGGCTTCTGGAGTTTATGTTGGTGTTATGGCTGTTGTTGCTGGGATCTTTGGGTGAGGGTAGGAAAGAGTGTAATGTGTGGTTTGATGGTTTGATGGTTTGAGGACTTAGTGGTGGATGATGATTTAATGATGAATGATACCCCTTCCTCACTTATATCTTTACTTTCAGGCTTTCTTCATCTGCATTCTGAGTGACTTCACTGCGATACCTTGTGTTTCTTAATTCGTCGCACGACTTTTGGTTTACGAATATCTACATCGCCAATGGGATTAACTTATTCTTACTGTCGAAGTACTGATATGTCCTAAACTACTAGTGTTACCTTCGTCCTTCCCCTTTAAGAAACCATCTTCATTTTCCACTTTCAATAATCTCATTGCGAGATTGCAATCCACCAAGAGAGACGTTCCAACTTCATCTAGCATCAGCCTATATTCCCTCCATCACTCTCTCATCCAAGTTCGCTGAACACCTCAGTAGATCTTACGCACTGCCTTCGCTTTCCTCGTCTCCGAGAACGTCGTCGTAGGCGTACGGCCGTCCTGCTTTCCTCATGCTCTAGAAATTGCTCATATAGGGATCATTCAGGGTCGGCGTGTGATGCTAAGCGTCATAGCGAAGGACGCAGTGAATATAGAGAGCCCTCACTCGACGACGAATTGTCAAATATCTTTGCGGGAAACTTGGGGAAGCATAATTATTTCGTCTCATGTTCATATTCCGTCAGTCTTGGAGGTGTGACTCCCAACGAATCTATGCTTCACTCGTAGAAGACTGTGGTGTTTATCTACACACATCCAAATTTGATGTTTGATCGATTCAAAAGTTCTGTCTATCCATTTGCCATTCTGCTTAGCCTTTCTGTTCAGACAGAAAAGAACAGTGACAACATTAGGACATATTTCAACGACTGTACATGTTTTTCCTTGTAGCTAGGGGCTCTGATGAGACGGAATCATTCCTCAGCCTCACATTTTCAGCCCTGTTGACCAGCTTGCCGACCACAGTGGTACCGAAACCACACGCCGCTTTGCGAAGGGCTACTTTCACTTTCTCACATATTGCCACCTGGTTCATTGAAATTTGACAAAGTTCCAAATATTCCTGTTATAACCGCCGGGATAATGCCATCAAATATTATCTACTTGTAAGTTGTAAATCCGGCATTCCACTCCATAGCGGTAGTAAAACAAACGATCAAGCGCGGAGTTGGCTTGATTGAAGAACAGAGATGCCCCCTAGCATCGATCTATTACAACAATATCGCCTGGCCAAGCCTACAAGGACTACAAAATAATGCCATGTCTTTCCGGTTGCTCCTGTGCTCTTCTGGAGTTTCCTGCACTGAAGTCGAGTTGTCGGCACTGAAGGTCAGTTTTTTGACCTGTTTATTGATTTCAGTCCCCGCCTAGCGAGTAGCTGTTCTCATACAAATGCTATCGCGAGTGCAGAACCCATCGGCCTGACAACGGTCTCTTGGAAGCATTGCACATTGCCATAAAGGCTGTCTTTATGATTCGGTTGACTATACTTGCCTTATGTCTGAACAGACTTCACCCCAGTCTTGTTTTTCTCCATCACATTTCTGCATCCAAACACCTTTGAACATTATGTATTTGCTTAACTGCCATCAGTCTTATTTTCTCTCTTTCGTCTGATTTCATGGCTCTTTTTCATGTAGATAATATTTGAATGAGCATCCGATGAAGCAATTTCGTCCAAACAAGCCTCTATCTGAAATTTGTCCAAACACCACGTCAGTCAATAGAAGAAAATAGTCATCGGACGAGCGCTTCCATCCCTAGTGGATGACAGCTAAAAGACAGGCCCAGGCAGCCTGAAATGCCCATCCTTTTCTCCACCTTTTGCCTCCATTGAAATGAACTCAGATCAGCAATCTGGATAGTCCATCACCGAATGCTCTCACACCAAGACCAGCCACTGCTATTTTCTGCTCTCTCCTTTTTTTCATTTTTCACAAAGAGAAGTAATTCATCCATCCCATAATTGTCTGCTCTCGCTCTTTCCGCCTGCTCTCATCATTTTCTTCTGCTTTCGTATATCATTTCTACATCACCCGAGTTCCAGCTCCAGCCCTTTTCATGATCTGCCTTGCCCATTTTCAATCAACCGAAGCAAATTAACCCCTTATGAAGATTTGAACAAGTGTAATCTGCTCTCGCCAATTCAAGTCTATCTCTGCTCTCCTGAGTTCCCGCCTGTTCTGTGAGCTGCTGTGCCCATTCTAAAAATACGAGCGCGAGTCTACCCAGTCTCATTTTAAGGAAGCCTTACCCTCCCGAAGTCCTTTGCTCTCGCCTCATTGTCAGCTGTTATTCCCGCTCCATAAACCACCCAAACAAGCTATCCTTATGGGCAAATCTCTCACCATGGAGCTCGACTTGCCTGCTCTCGCTCTTTGTGAAGAATTTCCCTTTGGCCTCCTTTCTCTGGCTTAATGTGTGATTTGCCTGTCTCATATCTTGCCTCATTCAAGTACGCTATCTACATGCTAATTTTGAAGTCCATGCAGTTCACACCTTATGCTTTCTCACCCTCTGAATCTGAACTCAAACAGCCAACCGCCGCATCCTTGTTCGTGAGCCATTATTCCCTCTTCTTGAGTATCTTCATTAACATCTCCATAACCAAGAAGTCTGGCTCTCACTCGTCTGCTCTCACTTTTCCTGTGATCAACTTCGCCAACCTATTAAGCAACATATGCAGATCACCAACTTCAAAGGCAAATGGCCCAGATCGTCTGCTCTCGTCCTTTGAGATAACCTGTGATCAACTGGATCTCGCCTTATTTGTAAACTATCTTACCATATCATTGAGCCCTCCTCTCCAAATAGCATCTCATTCTTATCACCAAGTTCATTGGTATGTGTTCTGGGCCGCGTCTGCTCTCGCCTTTTTGGATTTCCACCCGCTGGCTCTCGCCTTGTTTGTGAACTTCTGTATCCCCCGTCTCTCGCCTCATCTGTGATCTACCCGCCTCCAGTCTCACTCAAACCCGCTCTTTTCATAATAAATCTGTGATTTAAGCCATTAGATCGACCAATGAGAAAATTCCGGAGCACCTTTTCCCCTTTTAATCCCCGTTCATAGCTCTCGCCTTCAAAATCAGATGTTCAACCCGCAAAACCACCCCAATCGGCCAATCTCCAGTTGATCCAGAAGTACGTACGTACCTCCAACTATCACGAACTTCCTCCTCAACAGCCTCATTGTTGACACGGCCTAAGGTATCGAAAAGGGTGGTTCAACCACCCACCCAGCCCTGAGTGATCCCGTCGCCTTTGCCCTCCTGCTGCCCTCTACAAAAAGATCTTCTCTCTCCCCTCCCTCTCCCAAACTTCCCCTCCCTCTCACCCACTCTTCAACTTCGCAGATCCGTCACACACTTTTGCCCACAAGCAACCGCACTTTTGCACCTTGTATCCCATACACACTATCCATACCACATACTCCCTCCACCAAATCAACCGTCAAGATGCGCGCCTCTTCCATCGCCAAGGGTTACACCTTCTACTTGGGCACCGGCCCTACGATGACCGCCATGGTTCAGCATGATGGCGCCTCCGGTAAGTTTCCCTCTCTCGAGCATTCGCGCAGCGCAGTATCAAGGCTCACACACATCCAGAGACTGGCTCGTACGAGCTCACCACCTTCATTGAGGATCCCGGTCTGGGTCACGCTACCGTCATCGAGTCGAACCTGTTCACTGGTAAGTCTGAATTCCATTTATTCTTTGGGATCACAATGTTCTAACACGTTGGATTTTCCAGTGGTTACTTCGTCCATGTGCTCGATGACTACCATCCAGGTCTGTGACCCGATTGAGGTCACCCACACTCTCAGCGTCTCTGAGCCCACTGAGACCGCTGGCACCACCACCTCCATCTTGGAGTCTGCTTCGAGCTCTTCTGCTCAGAAGACCAGCACCTCCTCCGAGATCAAGGGAACTTCCAGCACTGTCAGCATGACTGGCACTGGCACCCAGACTGTCGCCACTCCCACTGCCTCGTCTGAGGCCTCTCAGACCGAGATCATGGTCTTCTGCGCCATCGCTGGTGCAATCATCATGTACTTCCTCTAAGGAAGTCAAGTCTAGCTATGCACTCGTTGGCAGTTCCTCACTTGGAATGGCCTGAAGGAAATGGATGGACTAGGGAATTGGTTTGAGCCATTGAGCTAAGGAATTGGAACTTCATCAAGGATCACAGGTTTCAGGTTCTTCATAGGCATACAGGGTCCGGATGCATACAAGTAGCATTTGGGTCAAAGGCCTCATTACAGAAAATTGAGACTACCTCGTCACAAAATTCTCTCTTGATTCCTCATTGTTTGACTGCATTCTTTAATGTGACTTTGCCTTGCTAGTGAGGTGTTTAATCCCATGATGTGTGATACTATTGTCGCCGGCCAGGACCGTTCGCGATGCCATTTCGAGCCTTATCTTGGTGTTTCCCACAAAGTGAGAGGCGGAGCTGTCACACCGCCGCCACAATGTGCCGCGCTACTGGAATTGCACATAATACCCATAAGCGACATCACCGTCATTCAGCAGTCTTCGCGCAAGACGACTGCAGTTCGCTCCAGCAGTCCTTATGGTGTACCGCCCAAGAGACTCTCGTTATGGTGTTTTGAGGCCGACGGAGACGACGCGCTTCGTAACGAGGTTCGCGGCATGAAGGTTAGACTCAGAAGCAAGAACATCACCATTCCAAAGCCTCAATTCTACTGACAAAACAATCTGCTTTATAGATCACGACGTCCATTGATGAATATCGCAAGACGTCAGCGTAATCGAAAAACACCGGAGCCATCGCGACACTGAGGCTAGACTCGCAGACCAGAATATCACGATTCCAGAGCATCAATTCTGCGAACGGAGCAATCCATCTATCTGCTTATCCATAGATCAGCATCACCGGACTCCAGCACCCTCTATACTATTACGAAGCCATCGCGGCATTCCATAAGCAGTGCTGAGGCTCGGAAAACCACCAAAGAAGCCCTTGTGTTGACGACTATCGAAGCTGCTGCTATTCCCATCACATAGAACCAAACACTGGAATAGCGCCCCCGCGCTGGCGGGACCGCGGCGGCTAGAAGGCAATCAATGTCGTCGCCATTAGACAGTCTATAGATCAAATGGATCAAGATCTACAGGCTCCTGCTTTTCGTACCTATCCTCATCTCCCATCGCGGCATCACAACACCACCAAAAATCCCCTCAAAGGGCGCCAAACACACCAAAGAAGCCCCTCTTCCGCCCTTCAATCAAGCCCCCAAAACAAGCTAGAACCACCCACCAGAATCTGGCTCCTTCCACTTTCCCTCCATGTGAAAACTCTGTCGTTTCTGCGGCGATGGGTTCCCTTGTGCTGTGCTGACTTTGGTGTGTTGTTCAACTGTGGTAGGCCCGATGTGGGTCCACGGGGCCGAGAGCCCCGAAAACTTCGGTGCACCACCGGCCCTCGGCTCCGAAAGTGGCCACTTGGCCCGGAAGGTTCTTGTTTGTTCTAGTTGCGTCCGACTCCACTGCGAGGCTGAGATTTACTCGCTTCTGTATGTACTGTAGCTAGCGAGTGTCAAGATGGACAAAGCCAGGCCTCGTGGTAATTGTAGAGGACATTATCGTTGCTCGTCGACGGGTTCAGGAGGCATGAAGATGGTTGAATGCTGTCCCAGTAGCCAAGTAACATCTTGTTTTGATAGGAGTACCGCCATATTCTACTGACTATATCATCACATGTCTTCCCACATGCCCAGTATCATCAGCCTCATAGCCTCATGTCTCGTAGATGCTATAGAGTACATTGCCCTCCTCTATAGCCAGACCCTCTGCCTACCACAAACCTCGATGGCCACCCTCAAGATCCCTTAAGATCCCTCAATTAGGCTTCCCAACACCAACCTCAACCCTCCCCCTCTCAACAACCTCACAAACCCATCCCCCAAGCCCCCTCTTCCCCTGCTCCGCGTTCCCACTCCCCTCCCAAAACCAAACAACCTCCAACCCGCCCAAAACCCCCCTAACCCTCCGACTACAATTCCCAAACCCCGCAATCCCTCTAACGCAAACCTCCCTCAGCACCCTCCTCTGCGCGAACCCCATCCGCCGCTCCGTAAGCAGATACCGCTCCATCAACCCCGGCGTAGCCCAACTCCACGCGTTCTCGCGGTATGGAATCAGCTCCGTCTCGTGGTAGAGCTGTCTACAGACCAGCACCAGCAGTGTCAGCCCCCGTCCCAGGACTGCGGCCTGCTGTCGTGAAGACCTCTTCTTTTTGGTGCTGGTCTTGGTGGTGGTATCTCCTCTTTCTGGTTCTACTATCTGCCTCGTGGGGGATGAAGTAGTCGCGGGGACGGAGGTCCAGGGGTTCGCGCCGGGTCGGAGCGTGAGGCAGTGGAAGGATCCCGTTTTAGGGTCGTGGAGGACGTGGATGCCCATGTTGGATAGGAGGAGACAGTAGATCTTGTTGCGTATTTCTGGCGGGAGGCGCAGGAAAGGAGATTGCGTTCGGTTCAGCTCCCATCTGTGGCATGACAACCAGATCAGCATAACTCCCAATTGGCATTGTCCCGGGGGGGGGGGGGGGGGCAAGCGTAGCAAAAGACGGTACAGGGTGAACACTCACAGCTCGGCCTCCCTTGAGCCCGGCTCCGGTAGGTATCCCAAAACGCCATATCGTTTCCCCTTTGCATACGTCGCGGAATGCATGAGTTGGGGAAAGGATGGGGAGAGGTGGACGGCGACACACCTCCAGGCCGAGGTTGAAGGAGTGACATGTCGTTCGCGCCATCCAAGGGGAAACGTGGGCGTGGGGTACCTGGTACCGTGTGGGAGGGTTGGGGGAGAGTGAGGTGACCTGCCGCCCGGCCCGTGCTTCTTGGAGTGCGCCAATCGACGCAACGTAGTGACCAACCATGTGAACATTAATGTTGCTATTCGCATCCAGATTATCTTCACGTTCTATCATCCATTAGAATTCTCGACAATAGATAAGCTAGTAGAAGAAGCGCGAGACCGGGTTTAATGCTACGTGGAATTGGGGATGAGCACAATAGAGGACAGGATGGGCATTTAATTTTAAAATGTACGTGGGCGAATCACGCGAATAGTATATAGTACAGAATGAGCAAGGCCCGAAGATCAAAAGATGGCTGTGCCGCCGTATACATTTCGTCACTGGATATCGAAACCTCCCTTACACTGGTACTTCCGTCCCGTGGGTACAGACAGGACAACCCTCCCGCACTCGGTCCTTGAGCAACCGCGCATGCGTAACCTTTGAGCCAACGCGATACCCGCTTCGGATCGACTCCTCGCTAGCCAGCCCAAAGTCGGCCTCTTGTCTCTTGCCGGGGTAAAGCATTTCCATGAGATGTGACTGATGGAAGACGTGCCCGCAAGCAAATCCAACCAAGGTTTCCATCTCGTACTCTGTGAAGGACTCGTGGCACTGAGCGCAGTGGCCAGGCTTCGGCGGCTGATGCGTGTGGCCAGGTTGTTCCACCGCCTTTGGTGCTTTGAAGAAGCTCTCTTCCACTTCCTCCGCACTGACTGGCGGATGCACGACGTCTCTGACCTTGACGTCGACATGATCCGTTGATTGAACGACGACTTCAAACTTGATTCCCTTCCGCTGCCCACTTCGCAGGTCATTTTGTGCGGCGGCGACCTCACTTCGGAGTACCCGCGCAACACCCGAGCTGATACTGTATTGAATCTCGTGTTCCTTCATGATGTGTTTTAGGCCCTCTCGCAAGCCTTCGATTTCGAGTCCTTCAGGAATGCGCCTCACGAGCTTAATGGGATTGATGGCCGTTCCGACTTCTTCGAGAAGGCCGCGGATGAAGCTTGGCTTGTCCATGCTGTAGTTCAACAAATCATCCCAGAGATCAGGGTCGTCTTGTTGCTTTGCAAAATCGATTGCCTTCTTGACATCCTTCAGTCGATCAATGATGAGATAGAGCGCTCGTTTCATCTCGCCCGTTTTGGAGTACAAATGTACTAACTCGTCGTCGTACCTGTACTTTTCACACTCTTGGACAGCCTGCGGTCGTTAGTTTGCAAACTAGGTCTCAGGAATGCCAGAGCATCGCCATCAATATTGTAGATATAGATTCTACTCACCTTCTCGAATTTGTAGGAAGTCGAGGACTTTAAAAAGCTCATCAACAGGTCCCGATCGTACTTGGCGAACAGTTGAACAGCCATGTCCGCAAATTCGTTAACTTGGGATTGGCTGTCCATCAGCAGCCTGTCGCGAGTCTCCCCAGAATGCTCCTCTATTCCCTCGCCCTTGTACAAACCGCGCAGGTAGAAGAAGAGATATAGGTTGAGTTCCTTCTCCTCGAGCTGCGATACAACCACAGAAGGCTTGACAAGACCATGCTGTGCTTCGTCAACAAGGAGAGTGATGGCCTCCGAGGTAGCGGCTTCAAGCTCGTCTGGCCCCATGGTTCCGAGCTTTTTGTTCGGCACTCGCAATCCGATGAAGCCGGGAATGTCGTCAGTCACTGCTTCGGCGAGATGGTTGTCGCGGATCAAGCGGAACGCAGAGTCCGCATCTTGTAGCTTGATGTGGCATTTGAGCGATTCCCTGAAGCGTCCATTTGCCTCGTGTAAGCGTGCCAATGACTCCATCACAATCTTCCAGTCGCGACCCTTCTCACCCCCCTCGACGCTGTCCTCTCGTACATCGCGGTACTTGAGCTGGTTATCCAAGGCTGTGGTGACGGTCTTGATGTCAAAGAGATCCGTCGGCCAGCGGTCTAGCAGTTCTCTGAATCTCAGCTTGTCTGCCTGAATGTAGTGATTCAAGACGACTTCGTAGATTGTGCCTGGGATCGGCGGGTACATCGGCTCAGAAGGAATGTAGTCCGTGATCTCGTCGAACTTGTCGGCGCCAGCAAATGTCCAGACCCATTTTTCCCATCTGTCGGGAGAGCCAAGGACTCTGCTACACACTTTACCGGCTTCAGCCCAGCTACCTGCCTCAATCAGCTCCCGAATCCAAAGCTCGCCGATGCGTCTCTTCTCCCTCTGCGCCGAGGAATTAGGCTGTCTTGCTAGCCCCGTAGACCCCATGACGGATGAGGCATCGTCAAAGTCCTCTTGGCTGCTTTGCTTTCTGTCTGGCGTTGTTGGAACGAGCTCATGAAGGTTCTCTGGAGGTGCAGCCATGATCTCGGGGTGCTCGTCAAGCAATTCCCATGCTTTCTGATAGTCTTGGTGCTCCAGCAGCCAGCCCAAGTGGTCGCCAAGGTCTCTCTTCGTTCCGAGAATGAAATCGAATGGGCTGTGGATGAAGATCTTTACTCCTGGCTTGATGAGGTTGGGATGGACTGTAGGAGTTCCTGATCTCCGGGCGCCACTAACTGAGCTCGGGAGCTGCGTGCTAGAGACACCATCTCCGCTGTGTCCACTCCTGATACTTGCACCAGAGCTAAATAGTGTCCTGGGATTGATGGCGGCATTCCACATATCTGAGCCAAATCCCGTGATTGCTTCCAGGGCTCCCTTGGATGAAGCCACCGCCGAGGCTGCGTTCTGTGCAGGGAGAACGCCGAGATGGTAGTCGCCCGATGACAGCCTCTCATATCTGCTTACACTAAGGCCATCTTTATCGACTTCGGCTTGCGAGCTCAGGTCGATTAATCGGAGTTCCGGCGGTAAATTGTTCTGTCGGCGTCGTATTCCGCCAGATGGCTCGCTACTCGCTGACGTTGTTGATAGTTTCGATTTGTGACCCTTGCCGGCCTTCTCATCATCATCGTCTTCGTCGTCGTCCGGTAATACATATGCTAGTACAAGGAGAAGATTTTGGGTATATAACGAAATTCCAGAAATGATGCAATCCATACGAAGGCTGCGAGGATATTAGCTACAAATCGCTCCAACGTGCTGGGAGGGTATACTCACTGTTTGGCGATTTCGGCACGTCCAATCGACCTTTCACCAGCTCGCTTACCAGTACCAACACTGCCGGGGTGGACGTGGATGATCCAGATTGTGCCTCCCCAGCCAACCAGTAGCCTCTCGATCTTCTTGGTACTTGAGGTTCCTTGTTGCGTTGAGCTTTCGGGTGCCAGCGTTGAGCCAACGTCTTTGCGCCCGGCCTCCCCGTCTTCGGTCTCGACAGCTTGCTCGTCGATCCATTCGACGCGTCCTTTCCAGACGCTTGCCATGGTCTCCCACTCATCTGTTTGAGGACGATCTACGTGGCCAATGCGTTTCCAGGCGTCGTCCGCGTCGGCACTCTCCAGATGCAACTTTGACCGCATAATCTTCACGCCATGCTCGTTCAGCCACACTACGTACTTTCCGGAGAGTGACCACTTGATATTATTGATTGTGCCTTCGCCAGAGTGCAGGATCGTGTCCTTGCCTGTGTTGGTACCCAAGCCCATGCTACCAAGCCAGCCAGAAGCGGTGGCAGCCGCCGTTCCGACGGTCGTCGAGGTGCTACGGCCCGGCTGGCCTCCGGTCGTTAGGATAAGTTGCCCAGCGAGACCACCCGAAAGGTATGTCCGGTCATTCTTGTAATCGGGGGAGAGTGAGACGGCTTGCACCGGACGCGCAAAGTTCCGCAACTGAACATCCTTTGTATCTACGAGAGAAAAGACGCAGACGTTGCCGTCCATGGACGAGGTAGCGATGTGGACGTTATTAGAGGGTGTGTTGGAGACAGGAGAAGGATCCTTAGGCCTTCTCGAGGCGGCGGCAGGGGAACTGCCCGACTGACGAGAAGGCGGTCGTTGTTTTGCGACGCTTTCAGCAGCTTCTTGAGCAAGTCTTTGCACTGCTTCTGACCTTGCTGTCGGCAAGGGGGGTGGGTTTGGGGAGATGGAGATGCTGGTGATGGAAGCGGAATGGGCATGATACACGCGGAGAGATTGGAACATGGGCAGTTGGATGACATGGATGTTGCCGTTATGCGTTCCTATGATCTAGTCATGGTCAGTTGCCGCATATAAATGCACTCGCCAGGCAGTCTTACCATCTTATCACCCGCGACGAGGAACGCGCTGGTGGCATCACCATTGCGGTAAATGGGCCCCAGGTGTTGAGTGAGCCTGGCATACTTCAGCCGGGGCTCCTCGTCATCGTCTTCATCGTCGTCATCGTCATCGTCGTCGTCTTCTTCGTCATCTTCATCGTCCTCGTCGTCCTCATCATCGTCTTCCTCATCCTCCTCTTCCTCCTCCTTGTTGTCCGTGCCATCACCGTCCTTCTTCAATTCTTTCTCGGACTTGGTCGCGGCCAATTCCTCCGGCGCAGTCACAGTCTCGGCCGTCTCAGGCTCTTTGCCTTTCTGTGCAGCGGTGGGACCATCGCGATCGGGATCGGAAACGTCCGTCATTGTGCTGGATGTACCGTCAACTGGAGGCTCGCATTGGCATTGTCGTTTGGTCGATGGAGTACCAGAAAGTCGGCGGGCCTGGGCGGGGATGATGAGGCAATGGCTCGGCCTGGCGTAGAGAAAGGCTGCAATGGAGGGATCCGAGGCAAGGAACGGAGCTACCCTGAGCTTCGGATCGGGTTCGACGAGCTCCTTGGGGTGGCGTCGCGGTCTGTTGAGGTTTAGAGGAAGCTTAGCTGCTCTTCGAATGAGTTGTCGCGCAAGTCCGCTACGTCACGAGGCGTGCTCGGTACGTACCGAAGAGCTACGATGGGAGCTTCCACAGGCACCTACTCAGCAGCACCTACCGGTA